ATCTCTGTGGAGACATACAATTGATTTGGGCAGTGGGCGTGAGGGTGGAACAAATGTGTCGCTTCAGAGACGACGCGGTTGCGACCATATTTTCCATATCCTCCCATGCCCTCTGTTTCCTTTTATATTTTAAACCAACATATAACAACATACATGTTTATGAAACACTACGTGTTTATCGATCCTTTCATGTATTGTCCAATGTATAAATCATAATAAATATGTATGTTCTATATAAATCATGATAAACATTTCTCTGTGTAAAAGCATTAAACATTCCTTCTTCTAGCTGAGACTTATGTGGTAGTTACAGCGCGGGGCTATCATCTCTAGTCACTCTGCTGGGGAAGAGCGTAGCAGCCAGTCAGGGCTGGTGTTACACGGCTCTAGACCGAGCCCTGAGAGGCAGCAGTGGAGGATGGCCAGTTTGAGACCAGTATGGGATATGTGACCAGATTTTGTCTACAAACGAAAAGAGCACCAGCTTGTCATGTCTAACCGTGACCTCGTGTCTGTCAACCAGCTATTCCCTTGCCCTTCCCGCCATCACTCTCCAGGAGACCAACTTCTAAAAGCTCTGCATTTCAGAGCCAGCAGTGTCTAACCCTGTTGTGTTGACTGCAAAAATGGAATACCAATGTTTCCAAGGATGTTTTAATTCAGGATCCATAGGAAAAGGAGGAAATTCTGAAATCAGTCTTGAATACAATAGATGTAAAGATTGAACTTTCAAAGGGACTTTTAAAACTTCTCAATGATGGTTTGGAGATTTAAAGAAATTATAGAAATGGCTGGCTGATGTAGAAACCCGTTATTAGCCAGTCTTTGCAGGTCTAGAATCCAGGGGGTCACAGAACACCCATGTGATCTTGGCCAGGTGACATCTCAAGGCCTTGCTTGCAGCATTAATGCCTCTTTCTGCACTCTGGCCCTGACTCCATCCTTACTCAAAGCACTCAATGGTACTGAGACTTGAACCTATGCTCTGGGGTATACACTGTTCTGTCTGCAAGTTTGCCTGCCTTCCAGAAGAGGGCACCAGATCTCATTACAGATGGTTGTGAGCCACCATGTGGTTGCTAGGATTTGAACTCAGGTCCTCTGGAAGAGCAGCCAGTGCTCTTAATCTCTGAGCCATCTCTCCAGCCCCCCATGAACTCTTTTATCATCATTATCATTATACTTTTGAGACAGGTTCTCACTCAGTTCCTCAAGATGACTATGAACCTGTAAGCTCCCTGACTTAGTCTCTTCAGTGGCTTGGGGGTGCGGGCCTATGTCACCAGGCCCAGATAGATAAACTGTGATATGTACCTGATTACTGGCTGATCTTCTGGGGCCAAGGAACTTTCTTAAAAACTGCCCACACAATCAGCTGTTTGGAGATATCCTCAGAGGTCATGTGAGTTGTATGCCCTTTCTTCTCTGAGTCAGTTATTAGTGACTAGGTTAATAAAAGGACAGACAGATTGGAACAGCCCTGTTGAGCACTGGCTTTCTTTCCCTGGCTCATTGTGTGAGCGGTTATATATTTATTTGTCTCATCTTTACAGGCCGGCCATGGACAATCTGGGTGGTGGCGAAATGACTGAGGAGGAGAAGGTGAGGTCATCCAGGGAGCAGGAGGTTAAAGAGCAAGGAACGGGAAGGAGAAGGACTGGACGGACACAAGTGGAGAGGGAAAACTCATCCTACTGGCTCTGAACTGGGACGATCACACAGCATTTTAAATACGTACAAAGACACTGTGGTGGTTTAATGAAAATGGTCTCCATAGGCTCACAGGAAGTGGCACTATTTGGAGGTGTGCCCTTGTTGTCCTAAGTGTGACTTTGGTGGAGGCATCTGTACCTCTGTATGTCACTGTGGGTGGACTTTGGGGTTTTAGAAGCTCAAGCCAGCCCCAACAGCTCCATCTTTCCTGCCCTTCTGGATATAGAACTGTCGGCTACCTCTCCAGCACCATGTCTGTCTGCATGCCTCCATGCTTTCTACCATGATAATAACCGACTAAACCTGTGAATTGCAAGCCAGCCCTGATGAAATGTTTTCCTTTGTAAGAGTTGCCATAGTCATGGTATCTCTGCACAGCCATAGAACCCTAACTAAAACAGACGCATACAAGTTATACAATTTTCTAGAGCCGCCTATATAAATAAAATATCACAAAGTATATTTACATCATCCATTTGCCTACACGCTCATCAATCCAGCTATTGATCCATTCATCCATCAATATAATAAACATTTATTAAGTTGCCTATTACATACAAGACAGCAAAAATCGGTACTAGGTCTTATAAAAGAAGTACATCGTTGCTTTACATCAATACTTCCCAAGTCTTTTGTGATAATTTTTCATGAATGCGACCTCTAATGCCCACATTTTGAAGATGAGGAAAGATGGAACCACTAAGAGGCCCAATGGCTTGCCTACAGCTATAGAAGAAACTTGCAGTGCCGTGATTAGAGGCAGACGTTAAGTTTCAAGTGTTTTGCCTCTGGCTAGCTAATAACTAAGGTTTGATTTGTCTAGCACGATTTATAAATTCTTTTCTTCTAAGAGACTCAGCAACAGGCTTATGCCCAAGTGGAAAACTCGCAGTGCCAGCCCTTCTCTAGGATCCTTTCCTGTGGTGTGAAGCTACACTCGTTAAATGCTAATTACCCATTTGATCATTTTTCAAACCTATTATCATCAGATGATGTCCTTGGTATAGAGAAGGCTGCCTTTCCCTCATTAAATATGCTCTCCCAAGTCAGGACAAAAGCAATGGCACTAACAACCCACGTTCTTTAATAAATGTCAGCCGCCTGGGTCTATCTTCCTTCCTCCTAGAAGAAAAGTGCTCGTGAAATCAGCTGCAAACCTACCACAGAAGGGGATCACTGCAATCCAAGCCGTCACGTGAAGGAATAGAGCCCCAGGTCAAAACCTGATCATATTAAGAACCTTCTGGAAGGCAGAGAAATACCCAGGTCCAAGTAGACGTCACATAGGATTGGGCCAGTGGACACACAAAAGAAGGAGGGAGGATGGGGAAAAGACCAGATGTCGCAACCACCAATCCCAGTCTACCATTGCTTAGTGGGTAGAGGTTTTGAATCCTTTGGCCGGGTGTGATGGGGATTTTGACCGCTCTAAGTTTCTGAACAATTGTCACCTAGTCTTATTCAGTTAACTGTGGTGGGGAGCTGGTCTGCGTTGTTGCTCAGTGAAACAATAGCACTTCACTTGGTTACTCACCTGCAGAGAGGGTCACCCTGACATTCTGTTGTAACACACCGCCATAGCTTGTAGATTGGGTGACAGCCATGTTCTTTGTATAATAGTTCTGTTTTGTTTTGTTTCGTTTTTTTAAAAAATTTTTTTTAGAATTACTTTTCCCTGGGTTACAATCTTCAGAAGCAGTTCTCCAAGGCCTGGGAACTTCACTCTGAGGATGACTTAGGCCTCGGTACTACTAGCGGCTCCTTACAAAGACCTGGAGAACCACAGTACGCATGTCATACCGGGGACAGAAAGACATTAGTAGGCCACCAGACATTTCTGCAAGTTGTTATGGGGTTTGAGAATGACTCCACCATGAAATCAAAGTTGCTTCCTCTTTACTTGGGAAATGTGGGATTTGCATTACGAATAGGAGAGTCATGAATCACTTTCATGGGTTCTCTAACTTTGGAGATTTTAACTTTATTACATCATGGCAAAGATTTCTTGACCTGAGACCTACTCTTTTAAGAGTATGTGTAAAGCCTACTGCTGGGGCAGTGCAGTACTGTGGGCCCCTAGGACTTCCCCAGCTTGCAGAACTGACTTTACGTTCACAGATTAACCACGTCTACGTTCTCTCTCTTTATACCCCTAGCAGCTGCACCGAGTTTCACTGGTTGAGATTTCACACCTGGGTGCAATCATGCTCCTACACTACGAAACACTGGTGAGGAATTTTAAAAGTCAAAAAACAAGGCAAAGATATGTTACTGGCCATCAGCTGGATGGTTTAATGTTAAAATGTCAATACTACCCAAAGAAAGCCACAGATTACTGTTTGTGCAGTTTGGGAATGGAAAAGACAGATGCTAATTCACTCATTTTTGCTTGTTTGTTTTTGGTCATGCTAAGGGCCGAACCAAGGGCATTGCACATGCTGGCCAAGCCTTCTTCCAGCTCACCAGTTCATTCTTTGTATTTGTCTATATGTGGTCATTTTTACAAATATGAAGCTAACATCAAATGTTTCCACATAAGTAATAGACATAAAATATAAAAATAACAGTGACAAAAAAAATCCCGACATTGTCCCTGAAATTCCATCAGAAGTTCACATTCAATGGCATTCGCTATCATAAACACATGGTACTTCTTATATTTGGTACAATTCTATTTTAGAAAGTAGTTGTCAGGGAGTGGAAAAGACAGGCCTTGGTCTTTATCTGTAATCCAAATAACAGATAATATTCTCATGGTCAGCTGGACGTCACTCGGTTATTTTTCCTGGTATAATGAAGGTCCTATCACAGCCACCATGATGGAGATGGCAGACTGTCCTGAGAAAATGCGGCAGAAGGCATCACTGAAAAGAGAGCGTGTTAGCAGGGTGTCTCTCTGCCCACGAAGTCGCTGTTGTACAAAGTGACTGTCACCACTTTGTCAGCAAGAGGTGACCGACTGAGGCGGAGAATCCTCAAGGTCAAGGCCAGCAAGACTCTCAAAAAAGATACAAAGAAAGGAGATGATAGATAGATAGATAGATAGATAGATAGATAGATAGATTGATAGATAGATGACCAACTGAGGCAGAGAATCCTCAGGTTCAAGGCCAGCAAGACTCTCAAAGATACAAAGAAAGAAGAGATAGATAGATAGATGATAGATGGATAGATAGATAAGAAAGATGACCTACTAAGAATATACTGTTTTTTTTTACATGAGCCAATCTTTTACTAGATTTGAAAGAAATGGAAGAGAAAAGCATTTTTAAAGTTTAAGACAGAAATTAAAAAAGAGTTATAATTATACCTATTTAAACAAATCAAATCTTCCATAAAAGTCTGTATTTATCTTCTTTTTCATTCTAGTTTGTTTCTGGAAACTTCCTTCCCATTATGTACTTCTACAATACCCTTTCTTCTCCTCCTGTTAGATGTGTGATCTGGACCAAGATTATGAGATAAAGTTGAAGCTGGAAAAGGAAACCGAAGCTGGGGCTTTTGTAAAGGGCACCCAATTAAGACACACCAGTCTGTGACCAGAGAGTTGTAGAATGAGTTTGGGCTTGGGAAAGAAAATTGTTTTTTATAGTTTTGCAAGTTTGTTTTGTTCCTTTTCATGTGCTTTCTCAATAGACTCTTGAAATGCTAACCTTGGCTGTGCTGAAACAGGGAGAAAAAGGATTTTCCCACAAGGCTAGACTAGTTCATGGTTTATTATCGGATGAGGGAAGGCAGCAGGTATCACCAGGTGCAGCATGGGAGGTGCGTGGGGCCTCCTGGGAAAAGGGGCAGGGAAGCTGGCTAACCGGGGCAGGTGCAGGGAACACAGAGTGTTCTTACCCCTGGGTCTTCTTCAAACGTAAGCTTTCTTTAAGTGGTGACTACTTTTATTCTTCCCCAACTTAAGTTACAGAATGACTTCATACTGCATATCACCGGAGGCTGCCTTCTGGGCAGGATGAATCGCTAGCCTGGTTAGTAGCGTCTTCCGCAGCTCAATTTCCCCCTACGCTCCTTTTCCAGGGTTCTCTCCAACCCCATGGGACCATGGTGGGGGCTGTCTGCTTCTCTCTTGTGTAGCTATTTCTCTTTCCTTGATCCCTTCTGGTTTGTCTCCCCTCGATACAAGTCTACTTTTATAATTCTCTTTGCCGAGTAGATTTTTAGTTTTGTTGAAATATGAAAAATTGTAGTTTCATCATTGTATAATCGCATTGCTTTTCAAGGCCTGGTAATAATAGAAATAAATAAAACAAGAAATGAGATGACTGTCTGCTTCCTCCCCTGTTTTCCCTTTCCTGAACGTATGTTCACTTTTTAAAGGGTTTAATGTCACGTTTCCGAGCAGCATAGCGCTTGCTTTTTCGGTTTTAGACATTTTAGATTGCCCAGTATGAGGAAGGCGAGATTTTAGTTTCCTTTTACTCTGTCGAGTGTCTATGTAAACAGTGTGTACATACTCATTTTTATGTTACAGCCGTTTACAACTTGAGGCATGTGGGAAATACGACTTTCTGCACTTTATTTTACGCACCGCGCTGGCTTAGCACGATTTCCTTAATTTGGGTTTCCGTATTTGTCTGTGTTATCTTATCCACCCCAAACTCTGCCTCCGCTCCCCCATTCTCTAGTGTTCTCCAGCTAAGCTTTTCAGTGTTGGGCATCTAATCAAGCCTCTCACTCATTTTTTTTTCCTATTTCTCCCTCTTTTGGGAGAAATTTCAACATTCAGGAAAGTTCTGACCTTTCTGGGCATAAGGGTGAGCGCACCAGAGCGGGAAGAATGCTCCTCGTTCCGAGAAACCCAGTTCGGGAGATACGCTGTCTCCTGTGAGTTAAGTGTTGTCTTTTTCTTCCAGTAAAGGTGTTTTTGTTTTGTTTCTGTTTTTTCTTCTTTAGTTTTGTTTTATAATTTGGCATCTGTATTTTTTTCTCATTTCTGTTACAGTATCTTTAATCCACTGTTCTTTTTCTCCTTAGCCTGTTTTTTTAATTGTCTTTTTATTATGTTGAATGGGCCTCAGGTAGCATCGATAATGTTCTTTCCCAGCTCTCTGCGTGGATTCCGCTTCCTCTGTCTTGATTTTTGCTGTTTGTGAATGTTAGTTCCTATTTTTTATGTCTGAGACTTTCTCCATGTCTTTTGATCCTAGAACTTACTTTTAATAAGTAAGTTCTTAAAAGTTGAAAGAACTCTATGTATGGCTAGTATTTGGAACACACGACATAAACTGGAAACCCATGACATCAAGAAACTTGTGCAGCTTTTTGTCGTGATGCTCATATTCCAAGTGAAGAGGCTTGGCTCCCCTGCGGGGCACAGGCTGGGCCCCAGTGCCCTGGGAGCTGAGGAAGAATGCAGACTTTAGAACTTACTTATTTTCTGCACACTTTGCCGTCCTTGACTGCATATGGTTTCTTCTGTTTCAGAATCTACCTGGTCCTTCAACTATGCCTTCCGGCTTCAACCAAGGTAAGTAAGACTTGGCCCCGGATAAAGACAGATGATAGAGACGATCCCTGCTTTTAGCCGCACTATCACGTGAATTCCCGCTGTGTTCCTGTGCAGCCAGTGTCCAACTAGCATTTCTCAACCTGTGGGTCACGACCCCTTTGGGGGATGAACGGCCCTTTCACGGTGGTCACCTAAGACCATCAGAATGCATTTACGTTATGATTCATAACAGTAGCAAACTTACAGTTAGGAAGTAGCAACGAAAATAACTTTAAGGTTGAGGATCAATCACCACACCATGAGGAACTGCAACCAAAGGGTCGCGGGGTTAGGAAGGTTGGGAACCACTGCTGCTCTTTAAGGGAGTTGTTGCACGTGCCCCCCCCCCCCCCCCCGCGCTGCTCTGGTTTTCAAAGCCTGCAGAAACATTTGTTCTCCACTCTCTTGTTTCCTAACCCGCACAATTTATTACTGTTTTCTCTCTCTTTCTCATTGTTCTCATGTGTGGATGCTTTAAAAGATTTGTGCTTCCGTTTTAGTGAGGAATCCGAAGAACCAAAGTTGCTCAGCCTACCTATTTTAGCCACCAGTGTTCTTTGCATCTCTAAATTGGCACTGTGAGCAGGAGGGGGCCTGCTCTGTGGAGCTTTGGGAGGTGCTCAGGGCGGAACCCAAGCAAAGCTTTGCCCATTTGTCTATTGATTTGAATTAGTCTCTAGCCAATGGCAACAAAGGGTCTTGTTCGGAAAATGTTGCTATGATGGAGCAATTGCCTGTTGGGAGAAAGTAAAGTCTCCAGATAAACGGTTAACTTTAGTCTCATTTCATATAAAGGGGCAATAAATAGCAGCTTTGAAAAAGACACGTAGACAGAGGCTTAGTTTCAAAAAATGTGTCTGAGTCTTAAGGCTTCAGTTAGACCAGATGGGTTTTTAAAAGGAATTGAGAACAGTTTCATAAGAGCAAATAGCTAAGGAGTTTCAGTTTTTCGGCTGTGTAAACTAAAAATTAGTAGCCAACCATATTGGCTCCTACCTATATGCCCAGTACTGGGGAGGCTGAGGCAAAAGGATTCTGACTGTGAGTTCAGGGCTAGGCTGAGCTACAGAGTGAGGCCTTCCCAATGATCTGCTCAAAACACTTTTTAAAAGATGTTTAGATTGTTGAATTTTAGGGAAATGATCAAAGTTTTTTTGTTTGTCTGGTTGGTTGTTTTTTTTTTCCCAATGTGGTAAAGTAGGAATTTATTAATTTGTCATAGTTGCAGAAAAAAATGGTCTCTGGAGGTTAAATCACCACTGGTTTTCTTATTAAAGTCATTTGATGACTAAATCTCGATGCAACTCCACCGCCTGCCTGCATCATCCACTCATCATAAGAAGAGCAAAACGAATGAACATGGGAGCAAAACTACAGCCAAAATACCATTGGTGTCTCCAGAACAGAGAAATACACAAATATAAAAAAAGATAGGGGAGGAATAAAAAACTGTTGACCTGCGTGTGCTTTTCCAGTTGGAAGGGAATTGAACATATTTTGGAAGAGAGAAAAAGAAAGAAAGAATCAAAGTTTTGAACATTTAGTTACAATAATGTAGCAGGACAGCAAGCACAGTATCTTTTGGGGGGGCGTTGCGGGGGGGGGGGGCTTGAGATAGGGTTTCTAGTTCTTATAGACCAGGCTGGCCTTGAATTCACAGAGATCTGCCTGCTTCTGTCTCCCAAGTGCTGGGATTAAAGGTATGTGCTACCACTGGCCAGTGAGCACAGTATATTTTTAAAAGTTGAAAAGAGACAGTTTTTAGCACACACAATTTATATGGGCCCAGTGGCAAACTTAGCAGTGGGCCTGGATCTTTGAGCCTCCCTGGCTCTGTTAGTGGAACTAACTGATCAAGTCATTGGGCAGATTAAATACTTCAGGATACTGGGATCTTAAAGCTTTGTATTTCATAACTGTTTATGGTGGATGCAGAGAAGAAAAAAGATAACAGCTCACCCAGGGATGTGTGCCAGCTGCCCATAGCTCCTGAGATAGATCTACAATGTACTCAGTTCCAGGCAAGAGCCTGAAGCTATGCACTGGGGGAGATCTCATAAGGTCCTAGCTCTAGATGAAGACTTACATGCAGTTTAATGGCTGCTGAGAGAGGAAGAATCAGTTCCAAGTGACCAGCCCTAAACACACATACACACACAAGCAACACTCATCAAGATGTGTGTGTGTGTGTGCACGCGCGCGCGCGTAACAATAATTAAAGAGGAGACTATGGATTTGACAGGAAGTGGGGAATATGGAGAAATTACAAATGGGAGAGCGGTGGAAAGGAAGTGAATACAGGACTCACATATGAAATTCTAAAAATAAATGTTTGAGATTAAAAAGAAAAGAAATGACATGGACTTTGAAAAACAAACAAATAAACTCGTATAATTTCAGAAACTAGGAAAGTAAAAAGGGACCATGGAAGGGCAGGGGGATGTCCTAGAGAGAGGATGGTAGCCCAGGGTGCCATGAAGGGGAACAGGAGAAACAGGGCCAAAGATTTAGCTGGGAGGGGAAAGGGAGGCCAGCATAAGACAGGAAGGGAGGGAGAAAGGATAAATACATTGTGTGTGTGTGTGTGTGTGTGTGCGTGTGTGTGTGTGTGCATGTGCGTGTGTGTGTGCGTGTGCATGTGTGTGTGTACATATCCAAAACACTGACTTGAAACCAGGGTCTGTTTATACATGGAACAGAGAAGGGTGTGTGTTGGTGGTGGCAGGAGACGGGGAGAGGCACAGGGAAGAGAGAGACGAAGAGAAAAATGCAGAGCGTCATTTGTGACGGAGAAAAGTGCCCAGCATTATTCCAGGCTTGGATCTGTGTCTCGTTAGCTGTGGAGCCTGTGTAAGTTGCACAATGTGGCTGAGTGGTGTTATCTGTAATATAGTCTTTAAAATAGTAGGTTCAACCCCAACAGCAAAAAAAAACAAAAAAAGTCTTAGGTGATTCCTATGCACATTTGAGCTTGAGAAGCTTGGCTTGGGTTCTAGTTTATATTATTTCAGAGGGTTGGCAAAGTGGTGAGAGTAAATCCTTGGCCTTCTCATATGCTGGGCAAGTTCTCTACCTCTGGGCCGTATTCCCAGCCTCAAGAAGCCGTAGTCCAAACCATAGTTCATGGCATATTGCTACTGGGTTTGACATCGTCCTTTACAAATATGGGGAAGGGAAGGTCACAGAAGCACAAAGAATGTTAAATTCCATCATCTGGTTGAAGATTGTCAGTAGGTACCATGATAGTTTCTGTTATCTTTGGCAAGCCATGACATGGGTCGACAAAAATGAAATAAGTATGATCTAGTTACGGTCAGTTAGCTCAAGCGAGCAGTAATGCATTGATCTTTTTGAAAAGATGTCCTGTTTCCAAGAATTCATCTATCACATCTATTGACCATAAGCTGATAACAATGTGTTCCCTGAGCCGTAGGGGTTCACAGAGATCTGTGGGGCCATCATTGTCAAAGTCAAGAGTCACGGGCATGTACACTTTTCTGGGCTTCTCAAGACTCCGTTCAAGTATCCATGCTCGGTTTTTGTTTTATGTGACTGTGATTTCCACAGAGGAGTTAGATTATTTTTTTAAGTATTGCATTGGTTAATCAATAACAATGGGTTGGAAACTGATGTCCTGGGTTAACAACTTCTTGAAAGACCAAATGAGGTGGACAGGCCCAGTTCCCAGACCATCATAAAGCAATACTAAAAATTAGTAATAAAAATGCAAAAACAGAACCAAACCCCCCCTGTCTGCTCGGCACTAAAATTCTTCTTGCCACTCATGATCAACTCAAAATGACAAACTGCTATTGTAGCCTTTCTGGAAAGGAAACCGTTGTGTTTTAAATTCTATAAGATGTGATCAAAACAGTTCTCAGGGGCATAACCGTGACTTCAAAAGCTCACATTATCACATGAAAATGAAAAGAAAATTTCATAAGGAGATTTAGAAAATAAGAAAATAGAAAATAAGAAAATTTCATAAGGAGATTTTAAAGGGGGAATGTTAGCAAAACTGAAGAACAAGTGAACATATGAAACTAAAAGAAAATCACAATTGGTAAATCTAAGAACTGAATTCGTATAACTACGGTGAAGACATAGAAGCGAGGTCGGGGGCAGCTCGGTGTCCTCACTGGCTTGGGTTTGATTTCTCAGCACCAAAGGAAGGAGGAAAAGCAAACAAACAGAGTCGATAAATGAGAAACTCCTGACAATTTAGATCACAGAACAAGATTTGTTGGAGCTGGAGAGGCAGCTAAGAGCCATTGTTGCTCTTGCAGAGGCTCCTGGGTTAGTTCCCAGCACCCACATCGGTGGGTCACACCCTCGTGTAACTCCAGCTCCCGGGGATCTGTACACAGACACACCTAAATGTGCATAGTTAAAAAGACGCACATAGATGCACATAATTAAAAAAGATTTGAACCTTTTGAAAATATTTATGCAGTCTTCAGTGATGTGTGGTGACGGAGAAGAAGTTTAATTCCACACCTAGAGAAGATTAAAGTTTTATAAGAGAATTTGTAATCTGGGCGTATAATCTGTATATATAATTAATATAAATTTATGTCATGTATCATGTATCAAGAAATAATGTGACATACGTATGAAAATTCTGTTACTATACAGGTGAAGAATAACCTTATAAAGGGGAGTTTACTGTTGCAATTATCAGCAGTAACAAGGAATTAAAACATTCACACTCCTCCGTAGTGAGGGAGTGCCGAAGAAATTGTAGTCTATTCACTGGGTTTAATGTCATGTAATCATTGAAAAGTTAGTGAATAATTCACATTTATTATGTAATGCCTTGAAAAAGTGACGACAGCGCATTTCAAAACACCAGTTTGGGGGCCTTTTTGGTAGACTAAATGCCCTAATTAACATGTCAAGCCTGGGATGGAGAAGACATTCAGCAATGTGTTAGTTTTCCCTCCCACACGGGGTTATTCTGAAAGCTGGCCGAGCACAAAGTGGCCGCTCCAAGCCCAGGATGCAGTCATTACCCTCGTCCTGGGGGAAACCGTTGGAGTTGCCCTCGACTTTTGACGGTTCAGAAGAGCCAGAGTGTTGCTTTTGTATCAGGAGGCTGTGAGTTAAATGTGGTTTCTGGTGTGGTCAGGAAATGACGACACTGCGGCATGTGCACGCTCATGCTCGCGCGCGCATGTGGTGTGTGTATGTGTGTGTGTGTGTGTGTTATCTACTGCTCAGCCACATGTGTTTAGCACTGTGCCCATTATCAGTAAAAGGCGGCGTTGTGAAAGCCAGAGGGTGCCAGCAGGCTCTGCCCAGGGTGTTTTCACCTAGGCATTAGTCCCCTTCACTCCAGGTCAGCTCTCTATGCCTGTCTCGTCCACACCCACAGTGAATTCTCACAAAGGAGAAGGACGGGCGTCCTGCTGGGCTGGAGGCAGTCAGCAGGAAGACCACTCTTTCCACAAGTCTACCTGACTAAACTTGGGGTGATTTCACAGCCCTTCTGATGCTCTCAAGTAGAGATCTGCAGCTGTTACAGCTGACTGAAATGTTCTGTGGTGCTTTGCTGGGGTTGTTCCTGGTCAAGGTCTTAGTCAGAGAAACAACCGCACTAGATGACTTCAAATCTGAGCTAAGACTTCCTCTGACTGCCCAGGGCATGGGTTCCTGTTGTTTCTGTCCGGCGAAGGTTTCGGTGGGAAGTTCTGTCGTGTTTGCAGACCGCCTTACTTCAGTGGCAGCTCTTTCTTCCTGCAACATAAAACACTATCATGTAGGGTAATCACCTGCCTAGGTTCTGTTTCCCCTACAACTGCAATTGCAAAGTTACCGTAAGAATCTGCAGCAAGAAGACTTGTAGATGTTGGGTTCATTATGGGGCCAGTGGGTAGGGGTTTTTTCTTCCCTTTCTTTCAGTTTTTTCTGATAACCCAAGTACTATTTAGGATCTACCTATATCTTCTGCCTTGTTGCTATAACAATTATTTACTACCATTTAAAATCAATATTGGAAGCCAGGTGGTGGTGGTGGTGCGTGCCATTAATCCCAGCACTCGGGAGGCAGAGGCAGGCGGATCTCTGTGAGTTGGAAGCCAGCCTGGTCTACAGAGCTAGTTCCAGGACAGGCACCAAAGCTACACAGAGAAACCCCATCTTGAAAAACCAAATANNNNGAAAAAATATAGGGACCTTTGGAGACTTTCTTCCTTATCTTACGTGTGTGTGGTGTGTGTGTGTGCGTGTGTGTGCGTGTATGTGTGTGGTGTGTGTGTATGTATGTGTGTGTGTGTGTTATTTACTAAGCTGGTTTTCCTTTCTGAACACTGGAAATCCTATGGCACTATCCCATTAAATTAGGTACTCTTGGGAGTATGTCTGGGAACCTATAGTAAATTCAGGCTACAAAGTCAATGTGAGCCTTTGCCAGAACCCCGACTTGTGTGGTGAGACAAGCCGACTTTCAAATGCACACAGGGCTCTCTCAGTCACCTCCAGGGCCACACACTAATGCCCTAAGTGTCAGCAGATTAAACCCATATGAAATAAATTTCCCTCCAAATACAAATGGCTTGTTAAAAATCGGGAGGAAAGATATTAGGGCCAAATGTTTTTGGTTTCAAAAAACCCAAACATCGGAGGGAAAGCATTTGTAACATTTGTCTGGCTCCAAATGCAAATGGATCAGCTTATCACTGTCTTTCGCTTGCAGGTTGTTCCAGGAAAGCAAAACACATCTCCACCACTCTTGTCTAAAACGATAAGACATTCTTAAACAAGCGGGTGTCTTCGAAAATACCTTTGAGGAAAAACATTATCAGCCCCCCTCCATGACCTCTTTCAAATCCCCCTAGGGTAATGTTTGCTTCATCCAAAGCCACTCTGAAACCTCTCCTCTGAGAATGAGGACTCATGTTCACTTCCATCCTTGTGTCTGTTCTTGTTGTCGGAGAGATTTGCGGCTCTGGAGGTGGGGTGGAGGGATCTTTTCTTATTAACAGTAATAATGAGTTGCTTTATAATATGCAGTTTTTCAGAGATTTCACAAGGTCTAAAGATTAAAGTATTTATATGACATGTATAATTGTTGGAAGTATTTTTAAATCCAGGGAGTCCCTAAACTCATCCCATTTCCAGGAAGTGCCTCCTGAGCTCTCGTTCGAGGAAGGGAAGTGCAGTAGTTCGCCCCATCCTACCATCTTAGTGGACTGAGTCGCAGGAGCCAACTCTGTAGCTCTAGGGGGTAGTGAACACTCTGGAAAGGTCTACTAAGTAGAAAGATGGAAAATCAGGGTGCACGCAACACTGAGTGTGTATGTGTGTGTGTGGTATGCTTGCATGTATTTATGTGCATGTATGTTTGGGGGAGGCTTGTCCACATATACCCAAATAACCAAACCATACCTCTGAGTGGCGAATGTAAACTTAAGTCCACTTGTTGCTGATAGACTCTGTCTTCAGCCTGTCATGACCATTCGTACTTCTTCAAAGGACCATTAGACATACTTATGTCTACTTAATTATGTGGACTTTTTTCATATTACAAATAGTCATTTCCATTGTTGAAATTTCGAATACAAAGTGAAACCCAATTTATTTTTTTATTGCAGTGAAGATTCTACAAAATCAAGGTTTGCATAGTTGCCTCCTTTGGACAGTCAACATTGCCAGACAAGTCAACTCAGCCAACAAACTACCCATTTGTCGCCAGTGAGGGCATTGTCTCTCCAGAACCGTATTTTATCAGAGGCATCACCTGTGAGCTTGAAATGAGCCTAGGATCCTGAACACATGTGTCTTATGTGCTACTCTAGGGTGCACTTCCTACCAGAGCACTCAAATGACTTAGTAAAAGTGACACACCGGTAAGTGACAGAGGTGAACACTGAGCCCAGTGGCCGAACACTTGTTCATTCTGCTCCATCTTCCAGTCCCCCATCTGTCCTTGGCAGATGCAACAAAGATAAGACCTGGGAAAACGGTTCAGTCAGTGAAGTTCTTGCCCTGAAATCATGAGGACACAAGTTCAAATCCCCAGTACCCACACTGAAAAGCTGGGCGTGGTGGCACACTCTTGTAATCTCAGTGCTGGGGAGTGGAAGCAGGCAGATCCCTGGGGCTCCATGGTCAGCCAGCCTAGCCTAGTCAGTGAGCCCCGCCTCTAGGTGGATCTTGAGAGAAAGCCTGGGCCTGGTTGACACATATCCATAACAATAGTGCCTGCAAGGCTGAGACAGGAGGACCAAGAGTTCTAGGCTAGCCTGGGCTACAAATCAAGACCATGTTTGGTCAGGGTTAAGAAAGTGCTTTTCTATTGGCAAAGATAAACCTCCATTCCTCTTCCTATAGACTTGACGTTGTGAAGCTGCAGTCAGGAAAAGGGAGGGAGGGGCTGGCTAACCTGCTGTGTGGCATGTAGTGGGCTTCATGGCTTTGCCATCTTCGCACTGGTCCCAATGGTCCCAAATGAGAGCATCACGCTACCAAACAGTCAGATCATCTATACCAGTGGCCAGAGAAAAATCCTTCAACACAAAGCTCCCCGAGATTTGTTTTTTCAGGACCATCATTTCTCCTTATTTTTAGTTAAAATCTCAGTCTGTCAACTTCCGGAAGCTCATTTTTTAAAACAATGTTTCTAATTTCATGTCCAACTGAATCCCTGTCCTTCATCCTAAACAAGGAAGCAGATACCTTGTTTTAGCCACTTCAGCCTGCCAAGTTTAGTATAAATCCAATTTGTCAAACCTAATTAAAGGGAATAAGGCATCATCACCACCCTCAACCTGTGTGTGTGGGGGGGGGGGAGTACGTTTGCATGACAATAATTCTACAAGGTTCATTTTTCACCTGTTACCAGTAGCGGTAGACTGTGCAGAGAAGTTTCTGGATGCTTCATTCAGTACAAGGTACTTCTATAAGTCACACAGACCTCCTAAATTTCCTATTCACTGCATTATTTACTGACCAGGTACCCAGAAACGCAGAATTGACTTCACATTGTAGTCCCAGCTGGATTCTATAGAGCTCCCCAGGCTGCTCCTGTGCTCCTGTGTTGCCTTTATCTCTTTTGGAGGTGCAGGATGCAATCTCTTCTTGGTAGCAAAAATGGTCACTGAGGTTTCTGACTTCAGATGTACCTCCCATGAGCAGAGCAAGAGAAAATACTGTCTTCTCCCGTATGCACACTTTAGAGAGAGGAGAGCCCTTGCTTAGAAGCGCTGGTAAAATGTCCTCTGGAATCTGATTGACCCCTTTCCCTTAGTTCAGGGACCTTCGTGTATGGATTGAGCCATCTTGATACACTGATGTTCCAAGTCCAGGCATGTACGCCCCGGTCCTGGGATGGGTCAGCTCACCTGTGCCTGTGACCTCTATGAAGAAAGGTTAGTGTTAGACTAATGGCAGACCAGCATAGGTCTGTTATGCCCTGAGGGCTCTGGGAGTAAGCAGGAGAAGCAGAGCCTTAAGACACTTTCTAGAAAGCTGAATTTTTGCCAGTGGCACAAGAGGGTAATGAATGCCCTATTGCAAAACTTTGAAAGGGATCGCCTTACAGCACAGCCCACTAAGGGACAACTTCCCTGGCTCATGTTGTGCTCCGGAAATGACGGGAAGAGACGCGTAGTGATCCGGAACTCTTAGTGTCCCCGGAATGGGACTTTGATGTCTTACTTGTTTAATTCAGTTCCCTTCCATTCCCCCACCCACCCCCTGGGGTTGTTTTTGCAAAGTCCTGTGTATCCTGAGAGCAGTCGCTAGAGGTCTCCCTGGGACGCCTTTTGGAGCTGCCCCCTAGAGGCGGAGCTTGGAAAGGAACTAGAAAACTGACAATTCAAAGCCTTGGAGCTGATTGGAAGGTAGGTGGGTTACCAGAGATTTCTGAGGGGCAGCCACAAAAAGGATAGACTGACAGAGACTCTAAAGACAGAGCATCCGCCACCCAAAAGGAGGTCACAGCGAGCCGTTACTATCCTGTATGCAACCACTACCACCTGTAATTTACAGCCACTGACGTGTATGTGGCTAAGGCCAAACCAGGATGAACGTGTGTTAAACACATACCATGTCTGGAAAGCTTGATTGGAGAGGATACAATGTAAAATGATTTGATCCCTAAATATTAATCACATGTTAAAATTCTACTGAATAAGATGTTTTTCTCACTGTGTTTAAGACAGGATCTTGCCGTAGAGCCCTAGCTGAACTGAAACCCACATTGTCACACACGCTTGCCTCAAACTTGCAAGGCTCGGCTGTCTATGTGCTGGGGTTACAGATCTGAGCCACCGTGCCTGGCTCTCTGTATTTTACCTTAAGCAGCTTAGCATCGTGTGTATTTGTGTTTACAAGGCTGGATGGTGACCCTGATAAGGAGAGAGACCAGAGGAAAGGAATGAACGGCTAGACACACCAAGAGCTTGAACAGCTGCCAGACCCTAGCCTTCCAGATTTGCCGCCTGGGGTCAGAATTCCAGCGTAAGATCTTGCTAAGAGTTAGGAGATGGTGATGGTGACAGAGATGAGATGGCCCAGCCTCTGTCAACTGCAGCCTTTATTACACTCAGTATGGCTCAAGCACAGCCATTGCCATGTCCCCCTGGCTACTCTTGTCATGCAAACAGGATCTGACTTCACATACCCATAGCTCCCTTTCCCCATGCATAAACTTCATGCAGGATGAACCCGCCCCAACCTAGAGCATTAATACATTGTGCCTATCAGGTTAAACTCAACACCCAGCATTCTAAATGGATCCTGGGGTTGCCCGAGTTTCTTGGAACAGATGACTAATGTCAGACCAGGATACAGGAGGGGGAGAGACTGCTTGCATTTAATTTATTTTATATTTTCTTCTTTTCCAGGATAGAAGGGTTTGGCCCTTCAGCTTCGAGACTAGGAAAATGAGCTGCTGGGAACGGCTGCTGCTGTGTGGCGGCCGCTGCTCTAGAGGCGAGCATGCCTGGCGTTTCTGCGAACAGCATCCTCTGCCGCTCGACACGTGTCAAGACAGGAGGAGCATACCGTGTGCTGCCGCCTCCTTCAGCTCCTTCCTCTTGCGGGAGACAGAAGTTCACAGCCTCTCAGACCCTTTATGTAACAAGCTGACAAACGGATAAAGTAAGCCGTGGAGATAGGCGTCCCGAAGATGCCGACCAAGGCCAAGAATCAAAGCAAGCAGACGTCGAGGCGTACGTGTGAAGTGAGGCACCAGTGCGGCCCCACCTCAGACTAGAAACGAGGTCGGCAGAGACGGCTGTAAGCTTCGGTGCTTCCGGGTCACACCTCTTCACTAGCTGATTGCTGATGTCCACACCTGTCCACGCTCAACTTCAAGGGCACTTCCGGTCACCTGATGTTTCCCTCCCCTCTCCCTTTCCCTCTAGCCTCTTAGACAACAGAACATAACTTCCACCAGCTGCCAAGCAAAGTTGAGTGAGCCCTGTCTCCCGCAATGAATAATGACAGAAAAGCAAACTTTGCACGTTAGGCAGGCAGAGTTGGTATTGGACAATGAACTGGATTTCATCCTAAAAAAAAGATACATAGCAGAGTTCTGTGAATCTGTTGACAATACTTTCAAATGGTGGGTTTTTAAATATATATGTGTTTCAAATGTTAAGAGTCCCTCAATGGAGAAGGGAATATCGCTGATAAATGTACAAGTATCAATAAAACTAACACATGGCAAAGTTCCATCCCAGCATGGATGCAAAAACTGTTCTATTCAACAACGTTACTTTTGCCTGAATTCCATCTCATTCCTTCTGAAACAATAGCTGCTCCTTTTGTTTCTCACAGAAGGCCTTTCAGACCAAATTCCAGACTCCCTGAGAAGGTGTCATACCACGGAACACACCCAGGTCTCTTACCTTGTCATGTTCCTCCACATCTTAAACACAGATATTCACACGGCGCTTGGAGCACGTTGGGTATTGGGCCATCCGGACTCAACCTGAAGTAAACCGGAGGATGGGCTGAGGTCATCCACAAACACCGCACCATTTTATATAGGAAATTCTTCCACAGCGTCTGGTATCGTGAGGGTTCCTGAAACCAACCCCCGAGGACACTAAGAAAAATGAGCTCTAAAATTACCACAGATATGACAATCATTTAGGATAAAGTTGAGGTGCACAGTCTCTTCTGCCTCAGGGCACCACCCACCATTTACACCGGCATAGTCAGGACTATTCAAAAGTCACAGGAATTTACACAGGTGCAGCAGAGGGGGACAGGGAGGAGGTGAGAAGGTAACAGGAGAACAGACCCAAAGCCTGTGGGCAGGAGCAAGCACGAAAGACAGAAGGCACAATAGGGCAGCCGTGGGCTTCCTGCAGGGTCAGGACACCCCGATGCTGAAGGAAGGACGAGGTAGAAGGTCGCGCTCCTGGAGCTGCGGTTAGAGGCCAACTGCTTTAACACGACAGCTTTTTTGAAGCTTCAAGCTGGCTTCCTCCAGGTTAAATGTCAAGGAAAGAACGCAATTCACTTTCTTCTTTCCTTCCTCTGTATTCCAGCATTGGGCACTTTCACCAAGTGCCCACACCTTTCTTCTTCAAAAGATTTTGCCACTCAGATCGTTGGTGCCATCCCTAGGACTCAGGAGGTAGCTTGGTACTATTTCTACATGCAGGCAAAGAGAAAAAAACAACAACTAAGTTTTCAAATTATTTTACACGTCAAGTAGTGTACTTTACAATTCTGGGGTCTTTGAGGATTAGGTCTCAATTCGTGGGAATGAAAGTCACAATCTTGTTGTTAAGAATATCACACATCTCTGTCGGGAACTGCGCAGCTTTACTTACAAGGGAAGAGGAACGGGAGAGTTCCGTATTGCAGGAGCCTGTCTGAAGCACCAGAAATACAACACTGGGGTTTTGAAAGGCACAGGAAAAATATTTTAAACACCGGCATGCCCCCACCTCTCAAAATATAAAATCATGTTTTTAACCCTAGTGGTAATTCCATACAATGGATTATCTTTTTAATGTAAAAACCGCTAAGATATATGAAAATACAATTTACCAAATTTTCCTGACTGGTAAATTATAGGTTGTATTGACTCACTATTTCAAACACTAATGGAATAAGGGGAGGTAAAGGCTGTTTTCCTATTGGCTGGGTGACTGGTCCTCAACAGCTGTGAGAAGACCAGTGTGGTAAACAGGAAACCATCTCCATGGCAACGGGCACTTCAACTTAACTTTTTAACACATGAAGAGGTAATTACTTTATTTTTTATTTCCATTTTTAAAATGTTCAGAGTTCACGATCGCAGTGAGGACCCGCCGCGGGTCAGGCATTTCCTGGTTGGTAACAGCAGGCTGACTTAAGGTCACCCGGGATTAAACATGGTGCCAATTTTTTTTTTTTTAAATGAAAAGAGAGCTGTGATTTTTTTTCTCTCCTCTTCCTGAAGTCTGCAGCACAAATAAATGACAGAATTTTATGCTCACGCACGTGGTGTTTTGATTTCCTGTCGACGATAACATCAGGGTGGGGGGGACTGATAACCACAGGGTGTTGGAGGGTGGAGCTCAGGCAGGCCCACATGAAAGCCACAGGTGGGTCCCTGGCAGATCAGAAGATGAACCTGGGGAAGGAGAGAACAGACAAGACGCAGAGTTTTGCTGAGATAAACCTGGAGGGAGAGGCCGGGCAGTCTCAAGGCAGAGAATTCTCCACGGAGCCCGTATCCTAGGCAGCCACCTGGCCTTGGTCCCACTCTAACGCCCAAATGCTCTCCTCCCTACCGGGAGGTAACCTCACCAATCCACACGCTTAAACCGTCCAGGCCAGTCTGTATTCCATGGCTGTCTTGAGAAGAGGAAGCAATAGCGAATGACGTCATTGTCCAAAGTAACGTGTACACACAGCCCAGCTCTCTGCAGGTCCCACAGGCTCTTCCACAGCCTCTGCACTGTCAAAGCTAGCTGACAGTCACCTAGCACGGGTCTCTGGAGGAAACAGAAGCCTTGGGAGAACACCATAGCGGCCCTTCACGTCTACGACATGGCCCGCTACTTTATCCATCACGGAGTGTACATCCAAGCAGAGAAGAAGACAGATGAGAATCTCAGCCGTCTCGAGCAAAGTCTTGGGAGGTCTCCAGGCCCAAGAGGTAGAAAGACCCAGAGAAGCTGCAGGGAACCAAAGCACCCTTCTACCTGCCATAGTTCTTCCCAGTCCAGAATCCATGTCCTAAAGTTGCTGGCAACACAGGGAGGGAAAGGAACAGAGAGACCAGAGAAAACAGAATGTCATAAAAAATGAGGCGCACACAGTATATACAGAAGCCTCAGAATCTTGGAACCATCCGTGGGCGTGGTGCTTCCCTGAGAAGCACTGGCAATCTGATGGCTTCAGTTTCAGACAAGTTACTACCTACGTTTATTTAAACAGAAAGAGTGAAATTTAATTTATTTTGCTTCATTTTATGATTTTATTTCTGAGATATTGTTTCATTGTGTAGCCCAGGCTACCCTCAAACTTTCAGTCTTCCAGGAAGCCTCAGCCACTGGCTTACAGATTTTCCTTAAACATAGTTAGGATGGAGATCTCCTGGATGTTGGAGGGAGGATGGATGGCGTGATGGAATGGCTCAAGAATGAGGCTAGCCTGAGAGGGATACGGACAGCTCTCATGGGCTCAAAATGATTCTGCTTGCATTCCTGCAAGAGTTTTGTGATCATTGACCTCACTGGTCATATCAGCACAAGGTCCCTTAGAGTGAAAGGCTGAACATGTCAAGTTCCTTTGTTTCTGTTCCTGTATCTCATTATAGATTTTATTGAGTCTGATATTAGAAGAGGTTCTCTCTACCTACAACATCAGTCTGTCTGCACTTTGCTGGGTCTGTGTTTATGTCAAGACCATTCCCACATCAGTATGCTCCGGACAGGGGTAAGGGTTCTCCTATCACACGGAAAATTAGTTTAATGCAGGGCAGGTCCATGCAGTCTTGCTTTTCTGATGCTATTTCCATATCAGACACAGGGTATGTACTCTGTGTGTCCAAACGCTGCCGAACCCCCAGGCCATCTATTTGCTTCTTGTTCCATAAGCAGCTTTCATTCTCTTTCCACTAACTTTAGCCCTCTTAGAAGACTCATTCTGCAATGGCAAACTGTATGAGTTTCTCTTACATTTTTTTTTATGGCGTGTTTTCTACATCAAAACTCTTGCAAAGCCACCACTTCCCTCCCAAACTCTTTCATTATATAAACAGGGAATTTGTCCTCTTACTTAAGGTATTCTAGTAACTGGCCTTGACTTGTGCCACTGTGGTGGAGCCAATGACCCTTGCTGTAGGTGCCTGTCTATCCCATGTCTGTCTGCCCTATGCGTCTGTTCCCCGGCTAGACTGACTTTATTGTCGATGTGCTCCACATAAGTAATTTCACAATAACCGATTTTCCTTATAAGACATAAGCCAATGATGCGGCCTTATGCACCTGATGTGAACCACATGGAGAACACCGAGCCTGGGGTAAGCTACGAGGAAACCAATAATCTTTCAGACCACTTGCAGACAGAGAGCATCTTTTATGCGTCTGTCGTTTTCACAATGCCGTGAATACAGAGACTTAAAAAACGTGGCTGAGAAACACACAGCTTGAATTAGGGATATTTGGGGGGCCGTGTGCACATGAGCCGTGGCCCTTCAAACATGGTCTAAGGGCAAACCTGTTGCCTGAAGAGGTTTTCTGTTTGGGTTGAGCTACCCAGGACGATTTAAGCAGCTTTTAAAGGTAAATAATAAATAAATAAAGAAAGGAAGGAAGCTTTTTTGACCTGACTCTCATGCTAATTCCAGGCGGATTCCTTAGAATGACTAGCAGCTGCGACTGTCATTCTGCCACGGGGAAGTGTCAGCAAGACCAAGAATAGCGGCAGCCTGCCATCTCTGAGGTTTTGACGTTCTCATCTAAAATGTTAATCAAGGAGCTGCTATGCGCAGAATGAAAATAAAAGTC